GAGAAACTTCTCCAACCAAAGCTAACATATTGGGTGTCAGGATATATTTGGCACCATTTTCCCTGTCCGTATCTAGAAATTGCTGGCATTAGTAGAATATCATTGTTGTGGCTGCAGAACTGTACAAACTGTCTGTATTCCTTATGTATAAAATGTCTCTCTACAAAAGCCTCCATGTGCATACTGTACATGTTAAGGTGTGTCCCACAAGGTTGTTGTAGTCACTTCATTATTTTTACTCTATAAATTGCAAAAATAAACAGTTTAATTCTTCTAAGAACACACTGATAAAAATGAATGTCTAACCTCTGTCTATGAAAATCTAAACCTACAGTATTCTCATCTGGGATATTCAGATTTTTTCCTTTTATTTTTACTTGTATTCAACCCACCATTAGTGCACCGCTGCCCCCTGGGGGGGTCTAACACTCAGGATCGGGATTAGAATTAGACTCAGATTAGAGGTAGGGTTAGGATTAAAATTAGACATTGTAATTTTTAAAACCCCAAACAACAAGTGACAGGTTGAATAAAAGCAGTTTTCGCTGACACCTCGGTTTTTTTTCCAGTCAGATCAGAGACGACGTCCACTTTTCTTCACAGCAGCACCTTCTGTGTGCAGCCTGTCACAAACTCCACTCACCTTGTTTGGTTGTCTTTGGAGTGCACAGCAGACATATGGCAGCTTCTCGCCCTTTACTAAAGGTGAAGCTGCTGCAGTTCAGGAGGAGAGTCCGCTGGGATTCGGTTTCCTGAAGGTGAACTGTGATGGGGTGGGGGGAGGGAAGTGAAGGGGGCTGTTGGTCTACATTTAAGTCTAGTGTGGAGAAATGCTCTCAGTAGAAATATAGAATTTGGACATCTGACTGCAACGTTTTCCCCAATAAAACAAAGAAACAATTACTACACATATTATATATACGCACAGAGTCTGACTGCTGCATTCAACCAGTTCAGTTACCATTAGTGTGGACTCTGTACAATAGAGTTTTATTTAAAACAGCCATGTGTATGTTAAGCTCAGGTCAGCCACACTTAGTTAGTGATCGATTATGAAGAAAAGGAAAGTGGGATTATTAATCCAAACACAATCATGAAGACTGAGAATGTTTATCTCTTACATTTAACTCCAATTAAGCGTTGACATTCCTTTGCTTTGGAGAAGTCGGTCCTTCCATCCCCACCCGCCCACTGCTCCACTGACTGCCAGTTAAGCCCAACTCCCATTGAAGCACCATTGAAGCACCATTGAAGCTGAGCTTCAACAGAGCTGAGTACACTCCACTGCTGCAGGCAGAGAAAAAGAGAAAGAAAAAACACACAAAAAGCTGAGTCATAGAACTGATCAGGTTTTAGTATTTAACAGCATTTTAGAAAAATATTTTCTAATATATAAATACAGAGTGGCGCTTTGGCCCAGAGGCAGTGTCTCTGTCATTGGTGTGGAACTCCAGGGTTCACCTCCTGGGCAAGTTCAAATCCCGGTTAGGGCAGTTAATACCTTCCAGTGGACTCACCACCTGCAGGAAAGTTTGGGGGGGGATTTGGGTGGTGACTGCTGCCCTGTGACCCGGGAATGGATAAGCGGATGAAAATGGATGGATGGATGGATATAAATATAAATCATTAAAAAAAGAAATTATTGATAATGTTTTCTATTCTAATTTATTCTATTTATATTGATAATGTTTTCTATTCTAATTTATGACCTTTTTTTTCATAAATCCTGTTTTCTTTGGCCAGAGCTGTTTTGCTACTCATTTTTTCATTACTTTTATTTTTTTACAAATGTTAACAGATTATTTTGCCAAGTTTAATCAGTTCGCTTAACATTTTGCTACTTTTTAATGTTTTAGATATTTTATTTAATCAGAAACTGGACTATAGTTGTGGTTACATTTGTAGTTATCTTCTAGATTCCTCTTACTTACAAACTTTCTTTCTGTGTCTACTTCTTTCCAGTTTCTCCAGAACAGACTCTCCTGTTGGATCTCCGTCCTGTCCTGAAGAAGCCCACTCACTGCCCCTCCCATCCTGCCGAGGAGACTACAACATCACACACACACTTCTAAACAAGTGTGTGTGGATGCTCAGGAGCAGGCAGTTCTGAGTCCTTACAAACAACCAGGACAGACGATAGAGTGTGTGCTTGTCTGTGTGTGTGTCATACTCTGGAGATCGTGTCTCTGTCTGGGGCAGGCGGCGTCACCTGGGTCATCAATGGAACGGTCCAATGATCCAAAGTTGAGGGGAGTTGACGAGGTGCTGTCCAGTGTCTCCCCGGTGATGGGCCACAGCTACAGTGCTGTCCAACAGCAGGGCTACTCTGCGTCCATCTCCTACGCTGTAAAGACAAGAAGGAACAGGTGAGCTGTCTGCAGCATCACACACTGATTAATATACAAGCAAAACTGAAAAAACTCCCGTCCCCGACTGTTAAATCTTTTGACAACAGGCATCTTAAGTGTACTGACCTAAGATACCCAGGGGAGGCATTAGTTTCAGCTGGTGACCATCCTTTTATTCTGCAGGCCTGCGGTGCATCAGCCTCAGCACTTAAGCATGGCAGCTGGAGAAGTGTGCAACCGTAGCCTGAGAATTGATTAGCACTTCCTTCACTGCTGCCACACCCACAGTGGGCTTCAAGAAACACACACACACACAAAAACAAACACTAGAGAATGTTTTTCATCATGGTTTCAGGTCTCCTGGAAGTTCTGAGTCTCCTTCCCCTCTTTCTTCTTCTTCTTTAATACATGGTATACATTTTAGTTTAGATTGTATCCAGTAATGTCTGGAAACACTGAGGTGACATTTCACCTTGGTATTAAATCCTGATGTATTTGAATGTCTAAGGTTGAGAGCAGTTTTCTTTCCTTCCTCTTGTATCTGGGTTGTTAATCTGTTACAGGAGATTTCTTTTATCACTGCAGTGAGTTTGTGAATGAAACTTTACTTATTTGTTACATCACTGCTGGATCCTGATCTGCAGCCCTTCTCAGGCAGGCAGCCCACTTTTCTCAATGTGCACACTCAGCCTTCATATATCACCTCCACTATGACAATATGCCAACGGCAAAATAAAGCATGTCCCATTTATGAATTGATAGACGCCGGTGAGCCTTCGGTGTGAAGGTGAACCTGGTCGCTGGTCGTGGCGTCCTACGGTGAGACCTACAGATGTGTGTTCAGATGGGACGAGGCAGCGGCATAAGTCACGCTGCTGATGAAAAGTGTGTCTGTCTGTGCCACAGTGTCACAACAGGAGGGGTGTAGGGCCACCAGGTGTCATCAGGTCACCTTTTGACTCACTAGGACAGTGATGAATTTCAGAGTATGTGTCATGTGTACCACAGGGGGCACCAGAGAACGTCAGAGGAGGCGTGAAATGTAGAAAACGAACGGTTGGTAAAAGTAATTTAAGATAATAACCATAACGAACAAACCCTGCAGTGACAGTAACAACCACAACGGAAAATATGTAATGTCTATAAGCAGCTCGTTTTTAAATAACCACCAGTGACATCAACTGTGATGACGACAGCACCTATGCCAGCAGCAACAGCCACATTGAAGGAAACAACCGTGGCAACACCAATAGCTGTAGTGTCTTCAACAACTGAATGGTCAACAACAACCTCAACAGATCCAAGAATAAAGTTTCTATTTTTATTATCATTGACTTTCAACACACTCATTTTACTGCAATGGCCTCCGTGCCTCCAACCTAGTGGGCACGATAACTGTTCACAGAGGCATAAAACAGAGAAATGATTGCACTTTAGTAAGACTTAGTTTAATCACTATAATTAATTATGGGTTGAAGTAGGACAGTGGTAGGACGTTGTTGCACGGAAAGGGTATCTGGTGTAGCTAGTGGTGTTGACACGTCACTGTGCGGACCTATACTGTCAACCCAAATTATAAACAATGTTTTAGAAATGTACATTTTCCATTTACTATTGTAAATATTACAGCTACATTATTAGTTAACAGCGTTGTTTAAAGACTGAGGAGTGGAGCTGCCGTGACCTCTGACCTCCCCTGCTTCTTTTCACAGCATTTTCCTGCCTACTGTGTACTTCAAAGAACCTCTGTAAACACCAAGGAAAATTAGAATTGATCAGTAAGCATTTCTCACATTAATATTCATAGTTTACCGTTGCAGTGACTGTGCAGCGGTCATATTCTTTATGTCAACACTTTTCTGCTTTGAACGTCAGCCTGAAATCTGGTCCTGCTCAACAGAACGTCTCCTCCTGCTGGTCGCCATCAGAGAAACTCTTTTCAATACATTTGTGCTTTGTTTTTTTCTTTTTCTTTTTTCAGTTTGTTTCTTCTCCTGTTTGAACAAAGGCTTGCTCGCGGCTGAAGTTTTTCTCTCCTGGGAGTTGACTGGGACATTTTTATCTCCTGTGTCTCTCCTCTCGGGAGAGGTTGTCATGCAGAGGACACCTGTCCCTGACAGTCTCAGCAGGTGAGTCACGCCTGTGACCTTGTTTCTTTGCTTCCGTCCTGCAGCCCACACTGAGATCCAGATATTGTTTAATTAAGAATCATCTGCTAACTTTACTAACAATCAAAACTGCTCAGGAAAACTAAAAGAATAAAATACAGAAAATACACTCAGTACAAGGAGATTGAAGGCCACCAGCAATCAATGCCCGCACGTTCTAAACACAGAGCACAGAAACAAATAGATCAGTGTAACGACACTAAAATGGTCCCCAAGAAAACGTAGCCACAACATATTTTCTGAGACTAATAATGTAATTAATCACCAGCACCCTCTGCAGTTGAGTGGGTGAACCACATACCAAGCAATATAAAATATAAAATAGGACTCGGAAGTAACGTCCAAAGGAACATTATCATCTACAATTTAGAAATATTCTAGATGGTTGCTATCGTGGTTTGCCCTTCCACATTAGCCATCTGATCCTTTATGTATACAGCAACATAATTCTGACCTCGAGCTGGACCTCGCCAATGCTTATGGTTCCATACCACACAAATTGGTTGAGGTGACTCTTTGCAGACACCATGTCCCCAATAAGATCAACAAGCCTTTCCAAGCATTTCCAGATGCGTGTCCTCCAGGTCCATTACAGGCTTGAGAAAGAAATGATTACCAGTTGCACCGTTTTGCCCTTGCCATGAACATGGTGGTGAAATCAGTGGAGGGGGAGTGTGGGGGGGGGCCTCTGACTAGGTCTGGAGTGCGGGGGGGGGGGGGGGGGGGGCTCTGACTAGGTCTGGAGTGTGGCAGCCACCGCTCAGAGCCTACATGACCTGACCGTGACAAAATCATTGGTCCCTGGTAGCAGGTAGATCTTACCAGGGATGAGACGCTCATCTCATGGGCAAGGATGAGGTTCAAACCAGCTCAAGGTCAAGGTCTCTAGTCTTGAAGAAGGGAAAGACAAGTTCCGTTTTAAGATTTCAGAGCCCACCATCCCAACACTGAGAAAAGCCAGTCAAAGGTTTGGGGAAACTCTTTAACTGGAGCTTGAGGGACACAGCTGCCATCAAGAGAACCTGTGGTGATCCAGGTGTTTGGCTTACCAAGGCTGACAAATTTGAGTTGCCCAGTCGCTTCAAGGCATGGATCTACCAGCATGCCGTTCTTCCCAGGGTTTTGTGGCCGCTGTGACTCTCCAGTTCCCCTTTAGTGGCCTATCTGAAGAGTTTGTGGTGACACAGACAAGAGAGGCCATGCAGTACAGATACTCCGGGGACCACAAGGTGGCAACCGCTGGCATCAAGGTCCACACGGGCAGGAAGTGGAGCACTGCCAGAGAGTTACAGGTGCCAGAGGCGCGGCTGAAACAGAGGACCCATGTTGAGACGGTGGCAAGAGGGCTATCAGGCCTGGGCTGCTTTCCAAGCTGTCAGGAGGGCACAGCAAAAGGAAAGAAGCATCAAAATCTCTTCCAGGAGGAAGTGTGCACAGGTGTGGAGGAGGTGAGAGCCAGTAAGATGGTGGGACTCAGACAGCAGGGAGCCTGGACAAGGTGGAAGAAGATGCAGCAGCGGAAGATCCCATGGCCAGATTTGGGGCACGCTAATGGTTACCACATCAGTTTCCTGGTTCAGGCTGTCTATGACACACTGACAAGCCCAGCAAACCTTCACACCTAGGGTGAGAGCGAGACACTTGCCTGCCCCGTGTGCTGGAAGAGGATCACTTCAACACCTCTTCAGCAGCTGTCCCAAATAACGTGATATTTACTTCACAAAGTCTTCAAAAAGAGACAGTAAATATATATATATATATACCTGTTGTCCATTTTTGTACAGTACTGTTCAAACACTACATATACTGTACTTCCACAGCCTTATGCAACTTCTATCCACTGTTACATTTTTCTCTCAGTCAGCAGCAAATGTTGTTTTCTGTTAATACGGTGACAGTCTCTTCAACCGTGGAAGATTTAAAAGCTTTAAGTATATGTGCATTTATTTACTTATGTGCCACCAGGGGCTGCGGCTGTATCTGAGGTGAATGTGAAACATGAATGGGAGCAGTTGGAATAGGATTACTGTTATTAAAATTGTTTAAGGATCAGGAATGAAAGCAGACAGTAGTGCTGACATGGAGCTAGAGGGCTATTTAAATCCCTGCATGTGTGTGTGTGTGTGTGTGTGTGTGTGTGCGCGCATACAGTTGTCAGACCTAATGAGTTCAGGAGAATTTCAGACTTCTTCAGCTGTCATTTCCAGGAGATGGCCAAGAGGAACAGCTCCCTGCCAAGAATAAGTTTTGTTCAAAAACCAGATGAGGACGATAGAGAGGCAAGAGGAAGAGGAGGGAGGAAACAAGGAGGAAGAGGAAACGCAGGAGGAGGAGGGGTGGAGTTGCGAAGCATCTGTGCTTTGGCAGCATTGGCCGTCTGAATGAGAGGGTTGGTCTTTTTCCAGCTCTGCTGTTCAGTTCTCTCCAACACTGACTGAACAGCGTCCGGACTCAGGATGGAGCAGGAGCAGGAGCAGGAGCAGGAGCAGGAGGAGGCGACAGGATGAGGAGAGAGTCAGAGGGTGAAGTGATGTGAAGGGTGGAGAGAAGAACACAGTCGGGTGTGATCAGATGTGTGACTGAGCGGCTGTTCCTCGATCCAACAGAGAAGTTTGAAGGAGATCCGCTCTCATGGCTGCTTCCACCACACAGGAGCCGGTGAAGGTACAAAAAACTTTCTTCACTCTGTTCGGACTTGAGAGAATTCCATTTTTACTCTGTTGGTAAAAATTTGGTGAAGGATTTCCATGACTCAGATAACTGACATCAACGCGTGGCTCCAGGCCCAGATCAAACACCGCAGTAGGTCTAATGTAGCTTTGAAGATCATTTTTATTTTGCTGAATTGAAATTAAATTTTTTAAAAATATTCAAAGCATCTAGGAACTATTGACATCCCCATTGACGACGTTTGAGGTTCCCAATATAATCTGTTAATTCCATCAGAATTGTTGTTTGATTTGACAAAAATTATTCCTGAGGTCCTGATTTTTTTTTTAAACTTCTCACTTAACTGTCAAAGACAAAAATGAACATAAATTGCTGCCCAAAATTAGCCAAAATTTTAAGATTAAACTCGTTTTATTTTCAGTTCTCGTGTTTTAGAGGCAGAGCCAAATTATTTTATTTTATTATTTAAAATAATCAAGTAGATACATTCAAATGAAGGTCATATAAGACCTCTACTCTGAGCTGAGATATTATCACCACTGCTACTGTGATCTCTGCAGGGCCACAGAGTGGTGACTGCGTTTGCTTTCTACCACAAAGTTTTTTTGTATGGAGTTCTCCTGTGTATGTGGTGTTCCTCCCATAACAAAATATGTTGTTGAAATACGTTGTTGTCAATGTGAGAGTTAATGGTTGCTCGTCTGTGTGTGTGTGAGACGCTGGTGTATTTTCTGCCTTCGTCTAACAACTGCTGGGATTTGCTCCGCCCGTCCTCCTCGACCCTGAAACGTATTAAACTGTAGAAGGACGAGGATTAATTAATCTCAATAAAAAACGGTGTTTTGTTTTGAGGTAAAAGAATCATGTTATCGCTGGCATCACCCTCTGCCTCACCCTGTCAGCACTGGTGAGTCTTCAGCTCCTCAACGCCTCACATCCTCTAGTCCAGCACAGTTCTTGGTTCTGCTAAATGTAATGAAGAACTCACTGCTCTCTGTGGACGTGGAGCTGGCATCATTCCTTCAGCCTCATTGACTGAGACAGACAGTGGTGAGAGGAGCAAAGCGGGGGGCGGGGGGTGTCTCCAGACCTCCTCCCGTTCTAACTACCGCAGTCAATAAAATAAAGATTTCCTCTGTCTTTAAAATTTCACCTTTTCATTAAGGCTGTAGCCGGGAGTGGTGGCCCTGAGACCAAGAACCCTGCTGCTGCTGTTGCTGCTGTGTTGACAAACTTTTCCATCAGGCGCTGTTTGTTTGACTGATCAGACATAAAGCTGAGGAGATTATGGGATGTGACGGTGAACAGCGACAAAGCCTCAGCCAAGCAGAATGGATGATGTGGAGGAGGAGAAGCTGCAGTCGTAGGCAAAACAGAAAAGCACAACTGCACTTTTAAAAACAGTGAAAACCAGGGCTCTTGGGACTGATTGGAACTGGGACTGATCATGAAACACAGTGTTAATCAACCCGCAGGAATCAAGGAAAGACAAAGATCTGTCTGGGTCTGTTATTTTAGTTTTTACTGCCATCTGCTGCCACCTATTGGAAGTGTTTGATTATTTTGGCTATCACTGAAACAAGAAAAAATAATTTGGAGAAAATAAATAATTTGTGTTCATAATGAGTGAGTGAATTTTGATAATTTTCCATGGGAAAACCTGATAATCAGTCAATCAATACTGGTCCTGTTTTAAAAATTCTAGTTGTTGGTTTTTTTTCATTATTATCATGTTCAACTTCATGCTGAGGAATAAAATTTATATCCAAATAACAGGACCTAAAGTGAACTTCTGCAACCACCACTGATGTACACACAAATATACAGCACCATCTAATATTTCTTCCCTGATATACTGTATATATAAACAGAATGCAGCACTGGCAGCGTCTCCACACTCTGAGGTCATAAAATGCACTCAGCTGGGATTTACTTTAAAACAAAGTCGACTGCACACAGAAGAGCAGAAACCATGACACTGTCCAATATTCCCGAGTCTGTGTTTGACAGTGTATCAGTTTGCCTTCAGCTGGGGAGCGTTCCACTTGGCTTGTCATCTGCTCCGGGGCTAAAAGAAGCTGTTGCGACTTTTTTGCTGTAATTATTGTTGTTGTTTTCTTGGCTCAGTGTCTCAGCAGCAGATGTCAGCTTAGATGTTCTCTCTCTGCTGAAGACCATGCAGCTGTTGTTGTATTGATCATGAATCGGATCTCCAATCAGTGATATTGACCCAGAACATTGACACTTTAAGAAGAAATCATTGAAAACCTGCCAACTAATGACAGTGGCTTTTTTTCAGTCGCCTGCAGTGAGATCAGTCGAAGAGATGATCGTAAGAATACCTACCTGAGGATTACAGATTTGCAGATGGTTAATGGATCATCTTGACTGACTGACCAGAGGTGTGAATGTCAGTGTGAGTGGTTGTTAATCTGGACTGGAGGAGTTCAAACCAGCTCCAGATCCTACGTCACCACTGTTTTCTGGGTGAAGACTTGTATAAACCAGTCAGTGTGTGTGTGTGTGTGTGTGTGTGTGTGTGTTTATGTTTGCACAGACCCAACAGAAGTGTGTTGCCATCTTTGCTCTCCTCTGCTGCTTTGCCGTGCTGCTGGTTCTGATCTTCTCGTCGGTGGATATCTGGTGGGACGATGAGGATGGAATCACAGAGGAGAACTGCAGCAGGAACTGTCGGTGAGAAGTCCCTGAAGATAAAAAGAAAATACATCAGGAAGGTTTATCTGAAAAAAGCACGTCTATCTTCACATTCTATTATTACAAATGTCTTTACTAACAATTTTTTCCACTTAGAATTTGATCATTTTCTACCACAAAAACAACGGTTTTAACTTACTTACTTCTGTCATGCTTTAGTCCCACTCAACAGGAAGATACTTCACTAACCGACAGGATGTTCTCCTGAAGAAGACCACAAATTAGAGACTGAGAAGATAAAAATGTTCAAGAAAATATACCAGTGTTACCCTCTGACAGCAGCTAAGCTGCTTCTTCTTAAATAGTCTATTTTCCTCTTTCAGCATCATGCTGGTGGAGAATGTTCCAGAAGATCTCTACCTCCCTGTGGAGTTCAGAGGTCACCTCTCTCTCTCGGTGGGCATCCGCACTCTCTTGAACCAGGCAAAGCAGTCAGTGGAAGTGGTGTCACCAGTGTGGAACCTGAAAGCACAGGATGTGGAAAACGTACCGAGCCGTGACAAAGAGGTAAACAGTCGGACGTACAGTACAGTAGTCAGATAGTTATACACAGTCAGACACAGTCGGACTATAGTCAGGAGGAAAGTGTTCACAGAACACAAACTTATGTCCATTCCCCTGGTGTGCATTCAAAGGTAAAGCAATCATTTCCAAAAGAGTCTGCATGTCTTTGGTTAATTAGGTTTGTCCGGCTGAGATGTAAGTGCTGACCTTTGATGATAAATGTAGAAACATCTGGGCTCAGACGTCGTTGGACAGGACTTGAGCAAATCTCTGTCCTCCTCAGGGTCGGCTTTTGTTCCAGCAGCTTCTCAGCCTGAAGTCTCGTGGGGTTAAATTGAAGATTGCCAGCAGCCTGACTAACTCTGCTGAGCTGAAGACCTTGGCAGCAGACAGTGAGTCCCTGCCACTATTTTCTTTCAAATTAAAAGCAATGTCGAAGTCAGAGTCTCAAGGCTGAACAGAGAGCTTCATTCTCCAATGTTGATCAATAGAAGACAGCTTTAGCAACAGCAGCATTTCTAGCAGTTACTGTTCCTGCCTTACAACAAGAAGGTCAACCGTTGAAGCCTATTCAAGTTCTAACTGCTGGGCTTTTGTGTGAGGTTCTGAATGAGCTCTCCTTGGTGTTTCTCCAGCTTCCACCCACAGTCCAAAAACATGCAGGATTAGGTTATGTATAGTTGTTTTCTCTAAATTGACCACAGGTCAATGTTTCTTGTCTATATGTGACACTGTGCTGAATAAATTGTGAGTAATCGCAATTAATCCACACATAAGTAATGTCAGCTGTTTAGGACTGCAGTGGAAAAGAAAGGGTTTTTTTGCAATTTATTCACACATTTCAGAATCTTAAAAAGGTGTTTGACTTTTTTAAGATTCTTTGGACTGTCTTTTCACCACTGTCTGTTTTTGTTGCACACTTTCCACAGGTGCAGAGGTTCATTTTGTTAACATGACAGCTCTTACCAGAGGACGACTCCAGTCTTCCTTCATGGTCGTGGACCGCAGGCATTTCTACATGGGGAGTGCAGACATGGACTGGAGATCATTCTCCAAGGTAACCACAGAAAACCTGAAATAAAATTATATTAAATGTTATGTTTCATTCTTTGACATTCATTTAGAAAAGAAACAAACAAACACTGATTTCTATCAGTTAACATTGAATTATTGTTACATAAAGAATTATTCTAGTCTCAGTTTTGCCAATAAGTACACATCTGGATCAACTAGAATTTTTAACCTTGTCATTGTCTCCAAAGATCTATTTTGGATTTGTATAATAATTGTAAAACTATAATATTTTAAGTAAATATAATATCATAATTGACTGACTGAGGCAGAGGATAATGCTATCTTTGTTTGGTGTAAATGCTGTGAAGTCCATCGTGACAAAAAAAAGTCATTTTGGCAACAATACCGCGCCCCCTCTGTTTACTAAAAATAGAGCTCGATTCTCTTTTGTGCCTGAGGCTATTAAAAGAACTAACAGTCTCTGATCAAAGTCTGTTCAGGTGGTCTGTCCAAGTAAGGACTGAGGCTAACGTTCCTAACACCTGGTAACTGAAGTGTCATTCTTACTGATGATGAGTGTAACTGAAACGTGTTTTGTTAATTTTGGTTAAGTTTACATGCAATAAACCTCTGAAGTGAAATACCAACTACCAAGTACATTTTGTTTTCAAACGTATTTTCAAAAGTACACAACATGTACACTTCTCTGTACAGTTTGTATATTTATATATTATTATTATTATGCTTTACTACTACATTGCCGTCTGAAATAATAAACAATTTTAATCCTAAGAAATCATCATTTTCAGATTTTTTCACAGCTCAGAGTCTTCATACCTCTTACTAACACCTCCTCTTCCTCTTTGCTCCTCTGTGTGAAATCTCTTTCTACAATATGACCCCCGCAGAGGAAGGAGCTGGGGGTGCTGGTGTACAACTGCAGCTGCCTGGCTCTGGACCTCCATCGAGTCTTTTCGTTCTACTGGCAGCTCCATGACAGGGACTACATCCCCTCCATCTGGTCAAAGAGGGTATCTGCACTGTACGGGAGGCATGAGGCCCTGGAGCTGCAGCTCAACACAACCTCGGCCACTGCTTATGTTTCTGTGAGGATCAGCCTTTAATGATGTCACACTGTCAGACGGCCAGTTCGATAATTCAGTTTTACAGTTTGTTTATCCATTCATTCAGTCAGTCCCAGCTAAGATTGAATGAAATATGTACAGTATTTGCACTTGCTCAGGTTTTTGGGACATCATTTTTCCCCAACTATTTCAGGTCTCTTTTTTTATATCTAAATTAATTTTTAGCAACATTGGTAAGCATTTCCCTGGCTAACTTTTAGTGTTTAACTTTTTATGTATGTAAACATCTGCTTAATTATCTTTTGTGCAAACTTGTAACAAAATGTTACATTTTTGGGCAAGGTTTTAAAATTTCTTGGATATAAACTTAGTAAAGTATACCAGATAGAGCTTTACTGTCCTCATATGAAGCCAATGTTAAGTTATTTTTGGCTAAGAAAGGGTTGTGTTTTGGTTGATTTGGTTCATTTTTATACAGCTATACATTTCTCTGCAGACCTCACCTGATGTCTTCTGCCCGAAAGATCGCACCAGAGACATAGAAGCCATCCACCAAGTCATCCAGAGTGCTCAGTCCTTCGTCTTCATATCTGTGACTGACTATCTTCCTCTGGTGAACAGAAGCTTCAGAGGAACAACAGTCACGAGGTACGGAGGTGCTGCTCCTCTACACTCATGACCGAAACTCTTATCTTTCAAATGAACCCTTCAACAGGTACTGGTCGCTGATCGATGATGTCATCAGAGAGGCTGTGGTCCTAAGACGGGTTCGGGTCCGCCTGCTGGTCAGCTTCTGGACAAAGACTCACCCTCTCACCTTCAACTTCCTCACCTCACTGAAGTCTCTGTGCTTGTACCTGCACAACTGCTCCCTGGAGGTGGTATGTGACTTTTAGTTGTGATCCTTTGACACACACAGGCACAGGCACAAACACACACACACTGATTCAGTGCCACTGTTGTTGTTTTGTGCAGAAGTTCTTTAGACTCAGAGAACAGAAGAGTGGAGTTCAACTGGGACTCAACCACAACAAGTACATAGTGACTGACAGTGCTTTCTATATCGGTAGGTGACGATCTGCAGTTTACACTGGTTTTTATTAATTTATAATTGTTTTTAATTGGAAGTAAATGAAAACAAATTAGTTAAGGATAAGCACAAATGAAGTCTGACTTCTGTGGTTACAGAGATGAAAAAAAAAATACTAATCATTATTTTCTGTATTATAAAAATTATAATTATTATTAGCAGTAGTAGATTATGGTCTTTTTGAATTCATATATAATACTTATATAGTATTTAGTTACATATATATATATATATATATATAGAGAGAGAGAGAGAGAGAGAGAAACGCCATTTTATCATTTAATAATAAATGTGACATCTGTCAACATTTTGTATTGAAAATGTAACAAACCATCATGTCAGTACATGTACTGATGTCATGTACTGAGGTACATTAATGTACTGTTACACTCCCACTATGTAAAAAGAGAAAATAATTGTCTACCTTTCAGTAACACCTGTCTGTCTTCTGACCTCAGGCAGCCACGACTGGGTTGGCAGTGACTTTGCCTTAAATGCAGGCGTCGGTCTGGTGGTGATGATGAGAAACAGCCTGGCAGATGGAGGAGCGACCATCCTGGAGCAGATGAAGGGTGCATTTCAGAGAGACTGGACGTCACATTACGCCAAGAGTCTTCTAGGAAGTAAAGAGGAACAGAGGAAATCCAGGAACTGGAAACAAGAAGATGTTCTATGAAGACCAGAGTCTGTGGAACAGCAGTTCACTTGATAGACACAGAATGTTTTATAAAGAAGAAAAAACACCTTTAGGGCAAGAGAACTGTATGACAACTATATTTTAAAATATATATCCATGTATATATAATATAAACATGTACCTCATAAACTGAATGACTGTTAACCTTTGATTTGTCAAACACTGATGGGGACAATATCATGTTTTGCCCTTTTAAAATGTGTTTGCTCATTTTTCTTCCCTATTTGTTTCTTGTTTCCTTTTTTTTTTGCTTTGTCTTCTGTCCATTTAGCATCTTTTTCCATTCTTGTTCTTGTTCTTCTCTACCCTGTAAGTAATTACTTTACACCTTCTGTTAGTTGTTCCCTAGTCTTTTTTGCACCTTTTCTTCATTTCTGGGCGTTTTGTTTTTGCATTTTATTTGGATCTCTCACTGCATGTTCTGCAGGAAATGCAAAACATATTTCTACAGAGAAACTGAGAAAGACCTGACAGATTGAGGTTGATATTTACTAACTATTGATTTGACTTTTTTTTTTCATAGAGAGAAAACAACTTACTGTGTATGAGGGAAACTCCACTGTTACACCTGTTGTGATATAATGCTGTATGTTTGATTAGTGCATGATGAAAACCTGTTGCATGGAGGTGCAATAAAGACAAAGTACTAACTTCACTCTCAGTTATGAAACTAGTATGTTCTGCACGGGACATGTACAGAAATATTTAATCAAACTCCATCAGTGTCATTAGAGCAAGACACTCTGTTTTCACTGTATCTAATAAACAGTTTTGCTTTTTTAAAAGTTTGGTTTAGACAGCGTATGTAAAGTGTGTGGCTCTGCGTTTGGATTATTTATTATCAATAATTATTATCTGAGCCTTTTTATGTACTTTTGGTCCTTAACCACAGCAAAATATGCATACATGTGGATTCTGGAATTTTCAAATGAGGAAGAAGAATTAAGTTCATTTTAAAATATGTTTAACATTTCATTTAACCTTTTCCTGTGGCTGCTGGGATTGCTACAAATCACTGTAAAATGGTACAAAACAACACATCATCAGCCCTGGACATTATGGTCGGGGGTCGCTGCCTGGCTGAATTTAACTATAGTATGACTCCCCCTGCTGGTCACCTTCACTCTCCCTGCTAACTTCCTCCTTAGTGAAAATATTAGAGATATCTTTATCTTTTCATTGAAAACGTGTCCACAAACACCAGTGTTCCTGTACCAACACCACAGAGGCAGCCATGATATGATACTCTGTTGCTGACTCAATTAATGTCGTAATGGGGGAAACACACAACGGATGCTAACGTTCGTGAAACAGTGGAGATGTTTACGTTTATCCAGATGGAGAGCTAACTAGACTAAAGTAAAACACACCTACAGTGTTGTTTAAGATCATTTTCCCAGAAACCAAATGGAACCAAAGTTGGCAGAAAAAAAGTTGACAAGAAATTATCTGTTCTTACCTTAATTCGGTGCACCTATGATAATCACTTGGCAAAAAAGTCCGTGACTAGTGAAGTTTCTCGCCTTCAACAGCGAGCCGCAGAGCCACTTCCTTTGTTTTTTCCAAAATAAAAGATTTAATGAGTTCTAAACAAATATTTCAGCTTCGACATGGAGCGTCGGTAAAGATCATTAGAATGAGTTCTAAACAAATATTTCAGCTTTGCTTCCGCTTCGACATGGAGCGTTGGTAAAGATCATTAACCAATTATTGACACGAGCTTCAAATATTGGAAAGAAAGAAACAAAAATATAAAAAAAATAGACAGAAAAAAAAGAAAAATAGACAGAAAGAAAGAAAGAAAGAAAGAAAGAAAGAAAGAAAAAGAAAGAAAGAAAGAAAGAAAGAAAGATAGACAGAAAAGAATGCGACGCAATTACAACACAGGATGGCGCTGCAATTCCATCTTTAGCCTTTTAGAACATTTAGCAGACTCTTTTATCCAAAGATCAGCATCATTCTATTTATTATTCTAAATAATAATAATAACAATTACTATTATTATTATTGTTATTATTATTATTATTATTATTATTATTATTATTATTATAAAATAACTTTTTTTATTTATCCCTGCTCACGTCAGCAGGGGGCAACTCTCTCTGCGTGAGTAGGAGGAGGAGGGGCAGGAGGAGGGGCAGGAGAGAAGGGGGAGGGGGGCGCTCGTTGGTCGGCGGATGCCTTTGCAGCAGAGGACCGTGGAGGAGAGTAGCTGTATCTCTGTGTTTGTGTTACTTTGATGCGGCTGTGATGCTGCCTCCGTGCGTCATCATGTCACAGGTGACAGTGTCCGGTCCCGTGGGTCTTGTGGATGGAGACAGTGGTGGAGTCTGTGCGTGAAAACACCGCAGTGGAAGGTGTCCGGCCGGAGCATTTAGACTGTCAGAGTTGTCTGCAGACTGCTGTCAGCTGGTCTGGGATCAGCTGTCGGTGAGTGGAACCTGGAGGTTCTGCTGACAACCATCTGCCAGAACCACAGTGAGGATGGAGGCGGAGGAGTTTGTGTCCTGTGTGGATCACTTCATGTTGAGTCCACTGGTCACATGGGTGAGTCCACTGCTGCTGTCTCTCTGTCCACTGTCCTCACTGCTCTGACATCAGTCATCTTTTCCTTCTGATTCTGTTGCAAAGGTGAGGACATTTGTTCCTAATGATGGAGGCACGAATTTGGAATTCTCCGAACTGTTGGATGGACTCTTTCTGAATGACGTCATGACCCAGATGTAAGTGGGTTGATTATTTGGTGTGTATCGTTTAAAAAAGTATTCCAGTTTAAAATTTAAAAGCAGTTTTTTAATATTGAGAAGTAAGTACATACTCCTTATTAGTTCATTGAGAGTAAATCAACTAAATGTCGTTGGATAGAAAATTTCAAAATATGGATATTTATATACAGTAAGAAGTCTGGTGTTTCATTGTAGTAGCCAACACAATTAACCACAACATCATATATATAAAGTTTAAATAAACTATCATCTTGAAAATGCTCCCAAAAAAACAAGTTTTCTGAATGTGAATCCTATAGATTATTATTTTATAAATTTTTGAGAGGGCCTTAATGAACACTAGTTACGGAAATTCAAATATAATTTTCCTTTTGCTTGTAGTGAACAGATTACAGATTAGTGGTCAGATTAGTAGCCAGATTGTTGATGCAGTTGTTAAAAAAATCAGGAAAAAAAAACACATCCATGTCAAACCCCATTTGACGGGGTAGGGGCTGGGGGGGGTGTCTGTGGCAGCAGCTTCTAATTCAGCAACCATTCTGCCAACAGAAGTTTCTTTGTCACTTCTCAGTCATAAAGAGGAGCTTTGTCGTCTGCAGATGTCTTTGAACGCAGCTTCCTCATGACAGGTTACAGTTTCTTCAAAAATAAAATGTCAGAATTAGCATAAAAAGTTTTTGAAAAAAGGACACAGTGTCCACTGAAGAATGTTGGGTCTGGGAGAAAAGACAGAAGGACACCATAGATGTTGTCAAGATGCTACTTAAGAGATTATGATCTGGTTGCCTTATGGTCTGGGGAGAACACCCCCAACACCACCACCACACCAGACCCCTAAAACACAGACATGTGGTCGGGGTGCAGATTGAAGATCCTCTGGGTTGATCCCATAGATTAGGGATTACGCCTTGGATTCTATTGAATTCTGTTAGGTTCGATACCAATCTGCAGAAAATCTTGATGACATGGTGCAGCTGTGGTTGTCCAGCCATTCCAACTGTAGGACAACCATTCTTCTATCACAATCACCAACTCTAAATGCAAAACAGTGCCCCAGAGAGGGGAGGTGAAGAGGGGGAATAATCTCCTAGATTGGGAAAGCCTTTAGGATTAGGACCTTGGTGCTGCTGGTGCTTTTTTTATTGAGTTAGTGATGCAAAGTCGGGGGAGTTGGAGGGGAACAGCATGAGCAGGGCGGTAGTGGAGGGTGTAGTGGCTATATGGCGTAGACCATCTTCTAAGCTAAATTGACCAATGGCTACTGAGGTTTGTCAAGCTTTCAGCAGAAAACTATACTGTTTACTTTCTTATTAACCCTGCCTCTAATTGGTTAGAATTTGTTGCCTTTGTTGGTTGTTTAGGTGTAGGGATGGTGAGCCATAGAGGCAGAGTAGGGTGATGATGATGATTTAAACTAAAATGTCCTTTTAAGAATTACAAACAGCTCCGTGACCATTAGTCCAGCGCCCCCTTTGACCTACTGGATATAACAGCTCTGCGGCCACTGGTTGTTTTCTGTGTCTCCATCACGGCCCACGGTGTCTGAGCTACAGGCCAAGAATCTGGACTTAGAAAGTCTGGTGGCACCACATTTGGCTGGTAAACAATGTTGTTTGGTCCATGAATGGAACCACATCCCATAAAGTTAGCCGTGGATGGAGACCTCATTCTGGAGCTGGGACCAGTAGCACTTTGTGGGTTAGGGTTGGTGTTTTGTTTTTTTTATATATATATGTTTTAATATTTCCCATGTTTAGAAACCCCTCAGCTGATCCCCAAGGGGTTCAAATGAGAAGGGACCCAAGTCAGAGAATCCAGAACCTGAACTTTCTTGTGCAGCAAATAAAGACATTCTATCTGGTGAGTTTTGACAGGTTCTACTATTTGTTTTTTAAAAAGGGAGTCTTTGAAATAATGCAATAAATCTACAGTCCAACAAGTGCTATACTGATTATGCTGTGGGAACACACTTGTTAAACTCAAGGCCCACGGGCCAAATGCAGCCCACCTAGTAATTTTGTATGGCTCATGGGAGACTAAAAAGCATTTAATACAGTCCAAGCAGCTGAGTTTCCTAACCTGATCAATTCAAAGTTTATTTTATTTCAGAGAGAATATTTGTAAGTTATATAAATAATAATCAATTGTAAAAATTTCAAAGAAATGCTGTGTAATATGTGTAACGCTGAAAATACAAAATAAAGAAATGTTAAAATTTCTATTATTAGCCAACATTGTTTTTCTGTTTTCCATTGTGTTCACATAAAGAAAATATTTAAAACTTAATGAAAAATTACAAAACCCTTTATTTTGAATACGTTTTAAATCAATGCATTGTCTCGATTGTTACCTCTGTTTGACAACAAAAATTATTTTCATTCTGTTTTCTTTGTGCATTTTCTCTTCTTTTTTCAGGATAATCTGAGACAGTTAATCGTGGCTCCGTTACCAAATGTGACGGAGCTTGTCAAGACTCCTTGCTGTGGTACGTTTCTGTCTATTCTTGCTGCCTGTTTCAGTTCAAATCCAAAACAGGGCAAAAAGAAAAATCACTTCCTTCAAATACAGTGATTTTTATTGTCATTCTTGCAGCTTAATGCAGCTTAAACGTGCTTGTCTTTGACGAGCGGTGACCCATATTCATCTGTCAGATCGCTGGTCATTTTAAATCAATGGCAGCAGCTTACAGGCCATTACACTGCGTTTGTTTCACAGACAATATACCATTTTTTTATAAATCCTAACAGAGGAAAGTCTTGAAGAAATGAAGAAGATTCTGCTGTTGCTGTTGGGATGTGCAGTCCAGGTAAGGACCTACTGACTTTCTGCAACTCGCCGTCAACCAAATCTAGGAGTTGCTGCGTTGTCCTAACGTTCCCGCACGTATTTATTTCCAGTGTGAGAAGAAGGAACTGTACATCGAACGGATTCAGACGCTGGATTTTGACACTAAAGCGGCGGTCGCTTCACACATTCAGGAGGTAACACAGCATTTCTCAAAATTCAGTGAATGCATTCATGCACTAAAAAATGCATTCAGTTGAAAAAATAAATAAATAAATAAATGGGACAAATGAGAAAAGCGATCTGATCCACAGCCATGAGTAAAGGTCATGTGACCTGCAGGGTTGAAAAAGAAATATGTTCAGATCACTTCATTTCTCGGCTTCACCAGCTGACCCACAGTCAGGAGAATGTGCTGGACCTGCAGTGGTTGGAGTCCAACATGTTGAATCCAGAGGAGGTGGAGATGGTGGTCAGTACTGTGTCCACACACCTGCAACACCTGCTGGAGCAGAGAGATGCCCACCTGGAGGTATGGACGTTGGATGGAACACCTTCTTTCATGTCTTCACCTTGCTGCTTATTTGCAGATCATGGTCCACAAGATAGGCAGCTCGCGTGCCACATGCAGACCACGAGTCACCATTTTGCTACAAAGTGACAGTCGTGAAAATAAGCAGGAGTTGCTCTGCTTTTCAGTTTCAGATGGAAATGATCTACGAGGAAATGAAGCAATGTTTTCACCCAATTTGAAACAGCAGTAAACGGAATCTTTTGTGCCATTTTTTAACCATAACCAATCGACTTACCCGCATTTTTGATGCCACGGCTGAAAGCAAGATGTGGTGTTTTTTACAGTGTGAACGTTAGCATCCTGCAGCACCAGTGCAGTTCTTGAGAACCTGTGCTCCATCTACTCAGTCTGTGAGTTCTTCACTGAATGCACATTGATGTGTGTTTCCATACGTCTGTCCTTGTCTCCCTGCAGACTATAGCACAGTTAATGCAAGAAAAGGACGGCGTGCTGAGTTTCCTCAGCAGCCCCACCAGCCCACAGCCTGAAGGCTTCACCGCCAGCATTCAGCAGCAGCAGCAGGTGGGGTCTCAGCAGCATCTGTCTGTGGAGCTGGCCGACTCCAAGGCCAAGATCAGGCGACTGAGACAGGAACTGTGAGTGGGGAATGATGAGTTATATGTCACAATTAAATTGTCAGCCCAGTAAACATTCATGGTTACATGGTCAACATCAGGTTACTAGAACTGGAACAGAGGGATCTACATCTGTAATCATTACATCTGTAATCATTTCATACAGTGCTATATACATATATATATACATATATATATACATATATATATACATATATATATACATATATATATATATGTACATATATATATATGTACATATATATATATATGTACATATATATATATGTATATATATATGTATATATATATGTATATATATATAGATAGAGAGAGGGAGGGAGAGAGAAGCCCTGGGGAGTTTGGCCCACATTACTGTCCCAGCTTGGCAGGGTCATTCGTTGTGCACTAACACTGACCCACATTATCTCTGAATCTCTGCAGATAATGTGTCCCCGCACACGCACACACACATGCAACTTGCTAACCCAGGATCCAATCAGGATCAGAGTTCTGCCTCTGTCAGTCATTCCTATCTTAACATCTCTCTTCATACGACTGCAGTATGAAGTCATCCCTAGATAAGTGTAGTGTCATAAGTTAAAGGGATATTTTTTCACCCTGATTAAAACATTACAACATCTCAGCAGCTAAAAGCTGTAAGCAGTAGTTGATGATTGACCCTTCACCCTGCAGAGGTCAAATACATTAGCTTCATTGTATAAATACAGACGTTGGACTCACTTGTCTCCATGCCGTTTTTGTCAGGGAGGAGAAGAGTGAACAGATGTTGGACTGCAGACACGAGCTGGAGAACATGGAGGCTGATCTGAAGAGGATGCAGCAGGAGGTAGGAAGTCACACAAGATGACGTCTCCTGATGCACAGTGACCTCCCGACCCCTGTGCAGATTGAACAGATCACTACAAAAACCGTGCTCGGCTGTAGAACAGTGGGTAATAACGGGAAAAAACAAAACAAAAAAAACCTCTGGAACCTCAGTACCTCACAGCTGAGTGTCAATCTATGATTAACAACTGTAATTTGAAATATGGAGCAGGATGTCATTCATTCAGAGATATATTTGTGGCCTGTATTTGAGCATATATTTTATGTGTATATATTTGCATCTAACTTTTGGTCAAGAGTAAATGTGTGTATCAGTAACTGACATGCCAGAAATTGGGTGTTTTGGTGAGGTGCATTCAAATGCGTTATTTTGCCTACAATTAATAATTATGAATTAATGTCCCGACCATACTTTAACTACGAGGGAGAAACCAATATATTGCAATATATCAAAGAAAAGATGACCAAGCTATAGGCCTCTGGAGATTGATGTTGTACGTTGTTTCTTTCATTTTGAACTTCTGCCTGAACAAATCCAGAACTGCCAGCTGCTCGTGGATGCGCGTGCAGCCCGAACCTACAGGGATGAACTGGACACCCTAAGGGAGAGAGCCATGAGAGCAGACAAACTGGAGAGTGAGGTGGGACGCTACAGGGAGCAGCTGCACAAGATGGAGTTCTTCAAGGCCAAAGTGGAGGTCAGTCACCTCCTATGGGTTCTTCAATAGTAGGGGTGTAGGAAAATTTGAATACACTGAAGAATTGCGATATTTTGTATCGCGATACCTTGTCTCACTGTATCCATTTTTTTTATTAACTGTCAAATATTGACAGTGTTGGTTCATTTTATTTTACATTTATTTCTTCTCTAGCAATTACAAATGTAGATTTCTCGGTTCCAGTCGTAGTAACCTGATGTTTAGTATGGAACAACATTGTGTGTATACTATGACTCAGTTTTCCTACCGTTAAATTGTTTAGATTTCATTAACCTGAAATGCTATAATGCCAAAGAGGTTTTTATCATTAAATGTACTGCAGGAGCTAAAGGAGGATAACAAGGTACTGGAGGAGACCAAGGAGGTGCTGGAGGATCAGCTGTCAGGCTGGAGAGCACGCTCGGACAAGATCCACCAGCTGGAGAAGCAGAACCTGGTTCTTAAAACACAGATCCATGACATGGAACAGGTCAGAGGAGACATAACCAGAAGCTTCAAGTCCACGGATGAGTCAGTGAAATCTGAAGATCTGTCCGTGGAGCTTTGATCGTCCTACCAATGACTTTGTGTCTTTGCTACAGGAGAAGGAGGCCGATCGGAGACGAATTGAGGAGCTACAGGAGGAGAACCTGACCCTGTGTCTGGCTCAGCAGAGGAGTATGGAGGAGTCTCAACACCTGGGCTGGGAGTTAGAGCAGCTCTCCAGGACCACCGAGAAGCCCCAAGGTACAGCACGGTGTGGAGAGAGCACCAGATGTTCTGAACCCTTCAGTAATTCACTAATGTCCTCCAGGTACAGTTCATGATTCTGTGTGTTTGTCCACAGGCCCAGACACTCTGAGTGTGGAAGTCAGCGACACAACACGCAGCCAGTTGCTGAAGCTGGAGATGGAGAACCAAACTCTCCACAGGACCATTGAAGAACTCAGAGCAGCTTCTATCAGCACCAGTCTCCAGTCCAGCCCAAATCCACCTGGTGGTGGTGACTGTAATGGCCAGAAGGTTCATGAGAGCAAGGACTGTAGCTTGAATGATGAGAACTCAAGGCTACGAAAGTCCTCCTCTAATATGGAAAACGGCACGACCAAACCATCAGATAGTACAGCGTCAGAGCAAGTTCTGAATGGAGAACCAAACTCCCATCAAGCACCAAACACAGGGCAGCTCCATGAGGTCCAGAGCCACATCTGCGTCACAGACAGTCCTCTTCATCCACGATTTGAAGGGGACCATTTCAAAGACCTAATGTCCGAACTGGAAAACATGAACAACAGGCTTCACTGTTTTGTGGGGTCTCGTGATCACTCCCCTGTCTCTAAGAGCAACAGTCCCTGCCATGAAAGCATTTTCCTCCAGCAAATGGTATCTTTAAAGTCCTCCTACGTCAGCAAGCAAACCCAACGCCTGGAGGCCAGGTGCAAGGCCCTGGACACGGTGAATCAGCAACTTCAGCTGTCTGTGGATACCTCCGGTACCTCACTGTGAATCACATCATAATATAAAGCAATGATATCACTGAAGAACTGGTTGGTACCGTCTTTCTTTCATTCCTTTCATTTATTATTCAGACCGTAAAGTCCAGCGACTGGAAGCAGAGGTGCAGGAGCTGGAGGCCGAGAACCAAAGCCTGCAGGCCAACTTAGAGGAACTGCGTATTTCTGCCAGACGCCTCGAGCAACTGGAGACAGAAAAACAGGGCATGGATCAGGAGGTGACAGCTCTGGAGAAGGACAAGAGGCAGCTGGAGAAGGAGAATCGACGACTGCGCCAGCAGGTGATCTGTCCTGTAGTGGTTCATGTTTTTACTGGAGGGTAGGATTATTGTACGATCACATGTGAATTGTTGCCTCCTCCTTTGACTCAGGCTGAGATCCAAGAAGCCAGCTTGGACAGCAGTAATGTCTGCATGGCCAGCCTGGAGAGGGAGCTGCGACTGCTGGTGAAGGAGGTGGATGTTTTGAGGGAGACAGCTGAGAGGGTGAAAGGTCTGGAGAAGGACAACAGGGATCTGAGACAGCGGGCTGCAATGGACCACAGGACACTGGCCACTCTGAGAGAGGTGAGAACGGCCTGGGGTCAACCTTGGGGTCGGGATCCCAGGTGGGTTCACCTGAAATGTCTAGTAATTTTTTAAAAATAAAAATAAAATCCTGATGAATATATTTTTTTAACATACTTAAACAACTGTATTCTTTCAGCTTGCTTGTGTTTTGACCAACCAAGTATCTTTACAGACAAGTGCCACATCTCTCTTAGAACTTTGTGAATCCTGTTTGCATTGAAGCCAACCCACAGCCTGTTGTACTGTGTTTTCTTTAGGAGCTGGTATGTGAGAAACTGAAGAACCACCAAAGAGACACTGAACTGGAGAGGGTGAGCCATGAGCTGGAGATGAAGGACCTGACAAAGGAGAGCACAGGGAAGAGGGAAGATGATGCAGTGGACGTCAGGTGATACATCCAACTCACAATACGATATGATATGATTCACAATTTTCTGTTCACGATACAATTATTTCAAATTATGGCCAAATACAATGATCCTTCATTTGTAAGAACTATACAAAATACCATTACCAACTGAAATGGTCTTGTGTACCTCATCCATCCATCCATCCATCCATCCATCCAACTAAATAAGTTCCTTTCTTTATAGAAACACTGTAAAACACTGTTTGTGTCTATGGAAGAAGTTCTTCCCACGTTCTGTTTGAACACCTGAATGTCACTTAGACCAGTGATTCCCAACCACTGTGCCATGGCACACTAGTGTGCCGTGAGAAATCATTAGGTGTGCCGCGATAATTATCCAATGTCACTTAATTGGTCCCAAAACTATTATTTATTTATTGCAAATAATTTTTATTTGTTCGTCAATGCGTGACAGGCAGAGCAATTAAATCATCTTCCACTAGGTAGCAGCAGATGGTTTTTAAACTAAGAAAAGATAATCAGAACTGTTGAAGAAGATCTTTGTGTCTTTCTTCAATTCCTGCCACTATATGAGTGTTGTCTTCAACTAAACAGGAGTAGATTTAGAAAATAATATATTTATTACATGAGATTTTTCTTTGGTGGTGTGCCGTGGGGTTTTTTCCTGATGATATATATGTGCCGTGGCTCAAAAAAAGTTGAGAAACACTGACACTAACATTTTAGGCACATACTGCCACCTACTGTACTAGAGTGTGTAGTCTCATGGTTTGACCAGTGATTTTTGCGATATCACAACCTATTTCTCGCACCCTGAGGCACCCAGAGTGTGTAGTCTCATGGTTTGACCAGTGATTTTTGCGATATCACAACCTATTTCTAACACCCTGAGGCACGATTCATTTTTTTTCTTTCAACTGATTCAAATTGTCACGCATTTATATTGATTTTTAACTGATTCACGATTTTGAGAAAACATGGCCTAATATTTCTTTTCCGTTTACAACAGGTTCAAGATTCTGGAGTCAGAGTTGGAGTCGTCTTTGAAGAAGTCGTTGCAGATTAAAGATGACAAAATCGTTGCACTCCAAGCTCGCCTGCTCGACTGTTCCACCTTCAACCAGCAGCTACACCAAGAGCTGAAGACTGTTAGTCACCAAAAGTCAGAGAGACAAAAGAGGGAATATTTATTAAACATCCAAATGCCTTGATGGGTTGGTTTTTTTTTATCTCACAGGTGAAACTAGGCTTTGAGGCTTTGCAGCAGAAGCAGGGGGAGGAGGGACAGACACAGTCAACCTCCAGCTCCACAACACAGGCCGGGGTGGCAGTGAGCGAATGGCTGCGTGAAAGTCAGGAGGCAACAAAAGAACTGCTGAAGCTCAAAGATCGTCTCATCGAAGTGGAGAGGAATGTAAGTGGGAGCTAAAGTCTGGAGGTTACCCTTGAAGACTCATTCATATTATCTAAGAAAACATCATTTACATTTAGAAGTTGTTTTCAGTCACAGCATCCAAATTCAAATGTTTTCTTAGATACTACACCGACATAAAATTGACACAGCACCAAAGCCGCTAGACAAACATTAGGCCCAAAACCCAGGACATAGTTGTAAAGAATCTCCCAAAGTTCCAGCTGCACTTTATCCTCATCTAGTTCATTCAAATCACAGCCTGTCTCAGTGGGGGATAGGGAGGATGATACATTACAGACAACACACAGGTGAAAACAGCCAGCTTTACCTTCCATACACCAAATCGATTTATTACCAACGTTTTCCTAGGACAGTGAAGGCATCAATTCCTTGATTTTTACATGGTTTTTGTTAAGCTACCTGCTTCAGCCATTCACTCATTCATCTGGAATTGAACTGTCTGCCTTAGACCTGCTGTGGTTCACATATTGAGTTTGAGATCTCTGCTATACACAAGAGCGTGCGATACCTGGTTCCACTTGTCAAAGAGTTTCCTGTTCACATTGCAGTGTTTATCTTCATTTGACTGCAGTTTTAATAATAGCTAAATACAGTTTCAAGTACATGTGACGCTCAGCATGAAAGAGAAAAAAGACGGTTCAAATGTAAGAATAAATTGCAATGCAGAACATCATCTCTTGACTGACTCTCTTTCTCCCATCGTTTCCTGTACAGAATGCGACACTGGAGGCCGAGGGCCTGGCCACGCAGTCGCAGCTGCAGCAGCTGGAGAGTCAGTGTGAGAGCCAACAGGCTCAACTCCTGGCTCTGCAGAGACAGGCCGCCTCACTGCAGGAGAACAACACAGTGCTGCAGACGCACAACGCCAACCTGCAGGTACCACAGAGGCCGTGCCACACATGGTGTAGTGTTATCAAAGATACATTTTTTAAAAAGTCGATTAATAATTACATTTTTTTTTTTTTTGCCTTTTCCTGTTAAAAAAGATATATTTGAGTATCACAGGGGATACGTGGAATTTCTATAGTTTTTAATTTCAATTTATTTTTATGAAGCATCCATTAGGGGGCGGTTTGCTTATATATATATGTGTGTGTATATACTGTATATATATATAGTTAATATAATTTTTCCATTACTTACTGTTGCATCAGTGCCACATCACCAATCACTGAGCTTCTCTGTCTTCTTCTGCTTCAGGTGGAAAAATCTACCCTGAACTCCCAGAGTGCCTCCCTCATGGCCCAGAATGCTCAGCTACAGCAGCAGCAGTCGGGAACGGAGACTGAGAGAGACAGCGCCGTACGGGAACGTGAAGATCTGCGCGCGGTCCACGAGCAGCTGCTGCGAGACCACGAGCGGCTGAACGCCCTGCACGAGCACCAGGCCATGGACTACGAGATCCTGATGGGTAAACACGGCTGTCTGAAAAAAGCTCACCGCACACTGGAGCTGGAGCAGCGCACCCTGCAGGACAGGTGGGAGGAAGAAGAGATGGGGGACAAACACAGAGTAGACACAAACGGACTGACATCGACTTGTGTCTGTGTCTTTGATTAGATACAACAACCTGCTGCAGCAACGAACCAGGCTGGAGGATCTGGAGAAAACCCTGAGGGATGAGCAGATGAGGATGACTCTGGAAAAAGAAGAGCACAAGAAGATCTCTGCTGAACGAATCGCACTCCGTGATGAGAGGGACAGGTGAGAAGAATGGAAGAAAAGTATGTTGTTTTTTTCTTTTCAGTTATTTAAAATACATTATGTGGTACTGTAAACCAGTGTAGCCCAGAAGACTTTAGGCATTTAACGTATCCTTTGGATAACTACTAGTTTCCATAGTTCAAAAAAAAAAAAAACTAAAAGTCCACAACAGCAAATAAAGCAACTAACAAATAAACAGATTTAAATCAAATTCCAAATTATATAAAACCTACGTTGTTAGACTAAAAACAGCAAATATCAACAAAAAAAGTGCTTGAAAACTACAAAACTAGCCCTTATCTAGGTTAAAAACGGACAACTTTACGGTAAAAAAGTCCAAAGAGCAAAAGCTAATCATTAGCTATTATTAGAAAAATGACCAACTATATTGCAAAATATAGCTAAAAAAACACAGCACAAAAAGCTTTATATTAGAATAAGTATTGTGCTTGTGCAAAATATTTATAGATATAATTTTACTGGTACTCGTCACTAAACAGGTCAAAATATATAAATATATACATAAATACAGATATATATTTACATACATATGCTTACATATATGTATATATTTTTAAGGCTGAAAGAGAATAACCAACAGCTGCTCAGTGACCACCAGCTGTTGGCAGTTGATCACAAGCAGCTGAAGAGTCAGCTGAACGAGGCCCAGCTAAAGCACACCTGGCTGGGGGTCGACTTCTCCAAGCTCAAGAAGGACTTCCAGCAGCTGGACATCACTTCCGCCAAGATCAGCAACCAGTGCGAGGTAGTGTGACCTGGAGTCTGAACCTGTCGACGCTCCTGTGTTTTTGTCTATCTAACAAAAACCTTCAATGTCTATGTGATGTTTAGCTGCTGAGTCAGCTGAAGGGAAACCTGGAGGAGGAGAATCGCCACCTGCTGAGTCAAATTGAGACGCTGAAGCTCCAGAACATGGAAAGCAAGGATCTGTTTCATGTGGAGGAGCGACAGTACATGTGAGCAGGATGACTCTGGCAAATCTTTCAGATTTAATGTAGCTACACATCAGTTAACATTTCAAAAATTGTAATCACTATTTTCCTATTTAAATATTACCTCTGACTCTGGGACTACTGTGTTTCTGTTCAGTGACAAGCTCAATGATTTGCGGAGGCAGAAAGAGAAACTGGAGGAAAAGATAATGGACCAGTACAAGTTCTACGAGCCCTCACCCACACGTAGGTAAGTCGACAAAAAGAGTGTTAAACGTGTTATTGTTATTCTTTGTACACCCTTATTACCAGTGACTCTGAACAGCTGTTGGGACAACAGGCAGATCTTGACATTTTTGTGGTAAAAATTGTGATTTTTCACTAAAAACTGAGCCATGAGAGAAGGAGTTGTAGTTCAAGAAACCAGTTCCTTCTCTTTTCTGCTCTGGTTCATGTGAGAGCTGCAGCAGTCTTAGCTCCGCCCCAAATGCTGTCATCATTTGAGACCCATGAAAACAAACAAAAAAAACCTTCTACGTTCAAATTGAGAAGTTGACTTTGATGCCAGTCACCCTCCCACCCTCACCTCTGATGCTAACATAATAATCCAATAATGTGCTCAGCTCTAAATCAAAACAAAATCAATTAACTGGGTACAGTGTCGAGCTGACAAAGTAGACCAACTCAAAGTCTCCATGGTTGTTAGCTGGATTATGGACTTTAGCACGGTCAAGTGGTAGCAATGGTTGCTGACCCGAGGAAGTCCAGGGACCACTGGTTGAGAACTATCAGATCAGAATAAACTTCATATGTATTACCAGGAACAACCTTCATACCAGACATGATGGTCTGAAACATGTATTTGTCACAGTACAGTAGCTACTGTGTCTGCTCTTTACCCCGGCCCTCCTCCACTTTTTCCTGATAAATTAACATCCATCTCTCTGCTCTGTCTAAGACGTGGCAGCTGGATAACCCTGAAACTGAAGAAACTGATGAAGTCCAGCAGCAGGGAGCAGGTAGAGGAGTGTCACCCCTCACCCACACACTCCGCCACCCCCGATCCAAATGAAACCTTCATCAGCTCAGATGGTTCTGGAGGAGTTGCCTCCCCCACAGTGGGAGATAGCATTTCACCTCCTCCTCGTCGTAACTGTAAGTTTAACCTCCTTGAATCTGCAGGGTTATGTCACCTGACCAAGCCAAAGACACTCACTTGGTATTATTATTATTAATAATTAATAATAATTTAAATATTCATAATAATAATATCAATATTCCTAAATATTTTTGTATATTGCTAAAAAAAAACACCAATACCAGGAGGTGCATTTGTTTCTCACCTGTTTTCATTTGACAACTGACATAAAAGTAACGCAAAATGTATGTGTTAAACATTTTAATCTGATTTTCACAAACTGATTCACGTCATTAATGCTCTGATTATAGATAGAATTTTATGATTATTCTAAACCTTCCTGTTGTGTCTTTCACTTGCACTTCTTTGTGACCTCCGCCCTTCCTCTTTCTCTCTCTCGTCCCTTCCTCACCTGTCTCACCTCATCTGTCCTCGCCTTCCTCCGTGTTCGCTGTGAAAAATAAGCCACTCTGAAACTTTTTCCCCGTATGAGGAACAGGCTGAAGGACAGAGACAAAGTCAAGTCCATCTTCCATCGATCCCTGTGTAAGAACAACTGCGGTTTCACTTGGTCACGGTCAATCATCTCATGTTATTGTTTTTTTTTTTTAATCGCCAATGACATAACATCCAATAATAGAAATATTTTGAAATTATAGCAAAATATTCTGAAACTTTTTTGTGACATGGTCATCAAAGCTAACACATCAGTCAGTAACCACAGGTAATCCACTCATTGTTAGTGATAGGTTTGTTACTATACATTTAGTAGTTATACATTAATCTTGTTCCAAAGAACTAGTTTGTAACCGAGTACAGTATTACAAAAGTGACTTGTTACCTGGAGAAAGTAACTATTTGGTACAATTTTTATATTATTTTATATTATTATTATTATATGATGGATTAAACAGACTAGTAGACACAGCCACCACCTGCTGTACCTCCACCCACCTCCTCTACCTCTCGTTCCACAAACACAGCCCTGAGCAGCCTGGCGACTCCTGCAGCCTGGTGGGCAGGGAGCTCACAGCAGCTGGACGTCCCCGACTCGGACACGGGGGGACACAGGGAGGACACATTGACCCCATCCCTCACCACCTCCATCTTGTCCATCCTCCACCTTCATGCGTGTGCCACTGACACCACTGACTCTGTTCCAGGTGTTTGTAGGCTGTGGGTGACAGGTAGATTCAAACCATCGACCACTTTTATTTTTCGTCTCATCTTCACCAGTGAGGGACGTTGAACTACAGCAGTAGGATGTGTGTCTGTTGTAATGTCCTGCTTTGACGTGTTATGCCCCACAGATAAAGATTCTAACGACGGTTCTGGGCTGCATGTGTGTGAGGACAACAATGAGCTGCAGAATAACGGTAAACACCAGATTAGTGGATTCAGCAAACATACAGATGTGTGGCCAGCTCAGGGTTTAGACTAAATCCACCAGATTGCAAATCTGACCTTGTTTTGCATAAATCTCTTTGCTCAGCACAGAAACGAGCAGCTGTTCAGAACTTGTCTCTGCTACCCCCTGTTGGTCATTATTATTATGAAGTTTAATACAGAACGCCTCAGGTCTTAGCTTTGCTCTTGTGATATACAGTATGTTTGTGTTCTAGCTACATGAATAACTCTTGTCGCCTTATTGATGGCTACTTCTGTGCGATTCCACAGCCATATTATAAACTTCAGGTTATGCTAACGTAACATTTAGTTACATTGCTATTACTATTTCTGGCAGTTGTGTAGACAGGGCTAATACTAAGAAAATATTCCACGTCAACAAAAAGTTTTTGTTCTGCAGCAGCTGAGCTGGAAACTTTAACATGGTTTTTTGAAATGTTTACTTCACATTATTTTGAGAGGGGAGGGGGCAATAAAGTCTCTGTCAGAGTCTATATAGTATTTCAGTATATATACTATATGGGCTTTCTTGCTCAGTGCATGATTAGATTTCTAACCCAGCTTTTCATAGAACATTAGCTTATTTCACCGTTTTCTTTTCCAGCACTGGGTGGAGCCCACAGTGAGAGCAGCGGTGAATTCAGCCCAAGTCTGGAGAATGAGCCTTGGTCCAACGGCAGCAGTCCAATACAGCAGACCCCATCACGTCGTTCATCCTCCTCCTCCTACCAGCAACCCTGTAGCACCTCTACTCCTCGACACAAGGAGAAAGCTCCAAACAAGCCCAACTTTAACGACAGTCACACTTTAGAGCTCCAGCCTGAACCCAAACAGAAACATCTGGCAATCGCACAGGACTTCTGGCTCACCAGGGGGACCAGAAGCATCCGGAAGGGATCTGGGGGGAAAATGACCCGTCGCTCATCAGACTCAGCTGGAACGGTCAAAATAAACACAGGGATGGGTGAGATAGGGTCCAAGTCAGGTACAAGCACAGATGACACCACCAGAGCTTTAGCCTGTTCACCAATCACAGTGTTATATGTTCAGGGTAAATCTTCTTCAATGTCCGGCTGCCTCAACTGCTTCTCCTCCCCGCTGGGGAAACAAAGCAGAGTCAGAGGAGCGAGGCCGCAGAAAAGTCTCCCTCGTGCCAGCAACGTCATATCGACAGCAGAGGGTTCGTCCCGACGCTGTAGCGTCAACAGTGACTGCAAAGAAGGCGTCAACAATGACTCTCCTCAGGCTCATGTTTCAAAAGGAAATAATAGACAGGATGAACCAGGGGCTGAGAATCCACAACCAGAACCTGAAAATGCTGAACCTGAACTCCTTCCTCCTCTGAAACCACCCAGAGATCCATCTTCTATTGTTCCCACACACTGCCCCAAATCTCTGGTGCAGGAGTCTCTGTTTGGCACCTCCTTCACTTTCAACTCCGTCTTCAACAACACCATCTTCAGTGACTCCACTGTCACAACTACAGCCAGTCTGAATGAACATGGAGACCATCAGGTGATCTTCTGTCTGGATCCAGCACTGGTGGTGGCGGACTCTCAACATGAAGCTGGTAACAAACCACAGACAACACTGTGTGTAGATAATGAGCAGAGTCCAAAAGCTGAAGGTGCCAGTGGGATGGAGGAAAAGGACCCGACCATCATGAATGCATGAGGGAAGTCTTTACATTACGACTGTCATTTCAACACAGCAGTAAAATACGGGGTCATTTCAGTTATTTTAATAACGCAAATGTTTAACTGTGATGTCCACTGAATACAAATCATGGAGATGGTGAAAGGACTGGACGGACCTTTGATGCTGTAACAGTGAGAAATCGGAGATTTTTCATTTCTTTAAAATTAGAAATAATCAAAAAATAATTCTAATGCTCTAGATCTGAGACCGCCAATCGTTTCCCCAAATAAATGTTTGAGTTTTTTTCCACCACAGATCATTCCCTCCTGTCCTGGCATCTCCATATTTGACATCCTTTCTCCAAATGTTGTGCAACTTCTGAATTTTATCTCCAAACCTGGGTTAGATATGTATTTGTTTATCTTTTATTTACTACAAAGACCCCTGTGTCATTTATAGCTGAGTTTTTATTTTCCTTATTTGGTGGTGGGGAAATGGGGGAGGAGGGGATTATATGTTTGTTTTTGTTAGCCAAACTAAATATTTTATTTATTATACGTTCCTTTATGTTTGCTTTGTGTTAAAATGTACTTGAAATGGAAAACTATTGCAATAAATACATTTTGTCCCAAATGTCAGTGTATGATTCGCCAACATCTACTGTAGTATTATTATTAGAAAATATTTAGTCTAGTTCTACGAAAACATTAACTCTAAATACATTTGTGTGATGTTTTGTACAATGCAAAAACATAAATCCACTACACAGATATGTGTACACTCACGTAAGCATTACTGTATTTAATTATTTCACGTTATAATCAATTTCCTATGTTCTGCTGCTCTAGTAAAAATTTTGAAATAGTAAAATCATTTAAAATTTTTAATTCTACGCTACATTAACTGTTATCACCTCGTTCTCACTCGGCAATTAGACATTTATAAGAGATTTTGTTGTGTAATTGTAATACCGCTACTCCTATTGGCTGTGAGAAAAGTCACGTGAATAAGTAAAAGTCAAAAGCTACACGAAGCTTCGCTTTAAAAAGAGACTGAAAACACAATATTTTTGTAATAGCATTTAAAAATTCGGAAAGTATAAAATATGTATCCATATTAAACAATAAAAAATAATTATTTGTTTCACAGCTTCACAAACACCGCCCCTCTGCACTATTGGATGTGAGGAAAGGTCACGTGAGTATATGCGGAAGAGCAGCGTTTTCAATTGACAATAAAACCATTCGGGGCTTCTGTTTTTTAATGTCGTCTCTGTTGGCGTGTTAAAGGGTTGTTAAAGCTGCATCGTATAACTCAAAACGGTTATTACCGTAGGTTCACGACAATGCTGAGCGCAGCCGCTGCGGAGAGAAACAAGGATCCCATCCTGGCGGTGCTCCGGGGCAGCTTGGACCCCGGGAGAGCCTTGCAGGCGCTGGAAGTCTCCTCCGGAACCGGGCAGCATGTCACACACTTTGCTCGGGCTCTGCGGAATATAACGTGGCAGCCTTCAGAGTACGACCAGCAGTCAATACACAGGTACTCACGGTCCTGAATAGAGAGTTATTATGGCCCTTTGTCTGGGTGCCGTATTCACCTGGGTCAGTGAAAGTGGGAATGGGGAGTTGCGCTGCAGCGTTAGGTCTCAACCTGGTTAACAAAACAAGCCCAAAAGGTGACCCACCCAACCTGGGCGTTTTTAGTATTATTTATTTATTTATTATGTTTTATCAGAATTCGGTATTCGTGTTTTTAAGTTGTCAGTTCATTCTCCCCTTCTTTCCCACTAACAATATAGTTCGACGGAGTTACCTGTGTTACCAACAACTCGTGGCGAAGATACCAGCCAATAAATTTATTATTATTAATTAATTGGACGGGAATAAGTCTAAATAAAAAATATACGTTCTAAAAAAAGACCTACCAGCTTTCATACTATGGGGCTAATTGTCAAATGAAGGGCCAAGTATAAAAGCATACCCAAGGAACTCAGTCTGTCATCACTAACGACACCGTCTTTCTTTCTGTCTGTCCTCAGTATAGAAGCGTACAGAGCTCACTACCAGCTGAACAACGTGAAGCCCGTCATCCACCTGGATGCTTCTCTGCCTCATCAGTGCTGGGGAGGGATTCAGCCCGAGAGCCTGGATCTGGTCGTCAACATCAACATGATCCACATTTCTCCCATGTCATGTACAGAGGTAGGCTGCTTCTGTACTCAGAAAATACTGTAGTACTCAGTGTAATATTGAGAACACTGAGAGGGAGGGAGTTAAAGCAGTGTTTCCCTAACTCTGGGTCACAACACCACGTGGTGTCGTCTGGAATTCAAATGGGGTCACTTGAAATCTCTAGTAATTGATTTTTAGACATCACAATGGTGTCAACAAGCTAAAAAAGGTTGTAAACCACTGAGTTAAAGAAAAATAAACAGCAGGAGCAACTGGAACATATTGCATGTACACCTCAAGTTTGAGCTCTTTAAAAAAAAAAGAAAGAACATTTTTGTATTACATGGAAAACTCGCAGCACCAACTGTGATTTCACACCACAATCATAACTCAGCTCTTAACTCTTTTACATCTGCTCTAACGCACAGCCCTTTACAAGATCTTGCTCCAGGCTTTTTATTTGGTCATAAAGACCCAGAACAAAGACGCTGCAGAAGCTCATGTTTGTGTCACTCAGACTCCATCAAATCAGTCTATGAAGTGGTGCCTGAGCCTGGAGACATTTGTGTTTGTTTGTTTTTTTTTACAGGGTTTATTCAAAGGAGCTGCAGCAGTGCTGAAGCCTCAAGGTCTTCTTTTCACATATGGGGTGAGTGAAGAATAGCTTCCATGTCATGGAGATGCACTCACCACATTCATCACACTGTAGGCAACGTCCTGTGTTTGTGCTGACTCTGCTTTCAGCCGTATGCGGTGAATGGGCAGATCACGCCACAGAGTAATGTGGACTTTGACTACAGCCTACGACAGAGGTGAGATCTTCTCACAGCTTCATCTGTTGTGGACGTTCAGTTTATTACAATTTTGTTGTTAACATGTTATTTGTTCAAATGCTGGCGCATCATTTTAATTCAAATATTGAAACTATTGAGATAACTGTTTTGTGAATTTGGGCTGTTAACATAATCGACTCAACTTGACTTGACTGTCAGAGGTTTTAATTTCATTTGGACTCTCATAGGAATCCAGAGTGGGGGCTCAGGGACGTCTCGCTGCTCAGCTCTTTAGCTCAGACCAATGGTTTGTTCCTGGAGAAAATGGTAGGAGAAAAGACATGTCTTTTTTCCCTTTAACACATAAAGAAGCACAAGACAACAGTGTTAATTAATTAGTGTGTGTGTGTGTTTTATCTTACCTAGGTGGACATGCCGGCCAACAACAAGTGTCTTCTGTTCAGGAAGGAGAGTTTGGTGTGAGCTCTCCTGGTGTCGGCTGCATTAGTTGAGTTGTTACCACCTGGTTGCCAACTGTGGTTGAAAAGTGAGGCTGTGAAATACCCTGGAAATGATTAGCAATCAGTGGGAAAATAAAACCTTGTCTCCCTCTACTTATGTGATCAGTAAATATTTTTCAGAAAAGAGTTTCAAAGCGTATTCATAATTTTAAATTGCTCTGTTCAAAGGTCAAAAGATACAACCTAAAAAAACACGGCCTAATACAACAGGCAGGAATGGCACAGACGTCTGTACAGAGCAGAAGAAATTCAGCGGCAGGCCACCAGGGGTCACCAGAACCATTAACTCTTCAGGCAAATGTTCCGTGACCTTCTACATCAACCCATTAACTCTTCAGGCAAATGTTCCGTTTATTAATTTAATTTAAAAGTACCTGTTTTGACAGCCTCACTTTCGCAGCTTTGGCTCTGCATATTTTTACACCTGGTGTTTGGTTTTAGTTTTGCTCAGATTCTTGCCAAATTTCCAAAAATCTCACCATGTTATTTTAATGCACATATTTAATCATGAAGTTGACCTCCAGTGTTAGTCTGTGTAATGAACCAATAAACAAAACTAACAGAGATGCTGCTTGTGTATTTGACTTGAACTTCAGACAGCCTCCTGCTTTTTAATACTTTGAATTTGTTTGTAGGAAGAAAGGCACAGCTTTGTTGACAGAGGTGCTGGGCTGAGCATTGAAAACATACAGGGAAGTCTATATACAATCAAATAAAGTCCAAACATGACAAGTTTCCACTGAGGTCTATACTACACATCCAAACAAAAAAAGAAAAATAACTTAAAATAATTTTTTAATCAGAGTCAACAACAACTGAGTTCAACGTGTATTTTCTTCAACTCTACTGACACACACGTATCTAACACATCTTTTAAGTGGTGGATGTCATGAGTGGCGCTGGAGCCAGTCCCAGCAGATATTGGCCGAGGGCGGGGTTAAACCCAGGACAGTTCTATCACAGGGGTCACTTATGTAGACCAACATCCATTCACACTCGCGTTTACCATCATGTCGCAGTAAAACAGCAGTTTTAATAGTCACCTGTAGGTGTTGAAATTCAGCTGCTTTGGTGCCAGGGTTAAAGGTGACCATAAACGCTACGGTGTTTCACAGGGCCGTTTTCCCAGAGTGTCACGCAGCCTCCTGAGTCTGCGCTCAGTTATGGCTCTGACGTAGCTGTCTGACTGAATGATGGCCATGCCATCGTGAACCACACCCATCACCAGCAGGGGGTGTTCCTCCATGGTGATGTTGGGGCAGGGACAGGTCCAGTCGATCTTAGCGATGGTCACCTCCAGGTGTTTGGTGTTGAAGAACGTCAGTCCCATCTTCTCATCTCTCAGGACCTCTTCCAGGCTGAAGCGGGCTAACCCAGAGTCCAGGTCCTCCACCAGCTCCGTCAGCCGCCCCACTATGGCAAAATCACTGCGACATAAGCTGGCCACCATTTTAGCTTTAAGACGACATGTCTTACAGGGTTTCCTTTTAGGCTGGGGGCAATTGGCGTCGCATTCCTTTTTGGTGCGGAAGCTGTTAGCATTCCCATGACAGCCGCCGTAAGCGAAAGCCTGGCATTCTTTCATGACAGAATTCCAGGCCCAACGGGCCTCCCAAGACTTACAGGGTCCTTGAACGGGAGGAAGGGAGCAGATTCCCATTCCCTCTCTCTGACAGGAGGCCTTGCACTCCTCGTACGTCTCAAAGCGGTTACGGCTGTCGTCACACCCACCGTTACTGAAGGCCGTGCAGGTGCCCGTCTTGATATCGTAGTACCAGTCTACGTGACGCTCTGCACTACACACCCTGTGGTCCAACTCAGCCAGGCAGTCTGCTGGAGAGAAGGGTCTCCCCATGGGCATCTCAGGATCCTCAAAGAAGTCGTCATTGGCCCGCCGGATGACAGACAGCGGGTAATCTGCATGCAGAACTCCTGCAGTATTGCGTGCGATGCAGGTGTAGACGCCCGTGTCCCACACCTGGGCGTTGTAAATGACAAGCTGCCCAATGTTAGTTATGACCACATTGCCGTACATCTGATCAGGTCTCATGACCAGATGTTCTCTGCGTTCACTCTGCTTCTCCCAGGTTATGTCAGGTTTCGGAACTCCTACGACATCACAGTGGAAGCTGACGGTGCCCCCGACGTAGATGGACTGGTGCTGAGGGTTTGAGTAGAGTGTTGGAGGCAAGGGCTCCTCCTGGGAGGATGTCGGAGTGGGGTAGGCTGTAGTGTCCTGCGGCAGAGGACTGGTGTGTGGCCCGGCCAGGTAGAAACGACAGGCAACCACAGTCAGCGTGACGCCGCGGATGCAGGCCTCGGCATCCATGTAGCAGCGGTTGAAGTAGGTGAGTCCATCTGAGGCGCAGGTGAAGTTGGGCTCCTTCTCACAGCGGTCCTGACACTTGCAGATGGGCTGCCCGTCCCAAATGTCACATGTTGCTCCCTGCTGGCTGCAGATAAAGCCCTCACAGGTAGCTATGGCGGTGGGGGGGTCGTCACTGTCGCCTCCACCCTGTCCATCTGGCTGGGCAGGAGTGCCATCAGAGAAACGCGCAGCCACACAGCTGTTGAGGCCACAAACGTTGGTGCAGCATTTCTCAAAGTCAGCACAGTCCTGAACAACAACAAAATATTTACAACATTTTGTTACATATTTTATTTAAGGTGATACAGTTTGTATTTAAGGTGGTATGATCAGGATTTCAGGATTAGGTGTATGTTTTACAGCCCGGCACATGTTCTTACGGTCCACATAAATCTTCTTCTTCTCTGATCTGATCTCTTTGTTAGCTTTTCTGGCTGTTCTTGGTATTTTTGTATTGTATTTGTATTTAGCAAGTCTTTGTTCATTGCACAGACCATTCCAGCAGCAAAAGGCAGACCTTTTGTTGCTGCAACTTGTTCTCAGTGGGGCATCAGTAAAGTCTAAAGCAGTGGTGTCCAATCAGTAGATTAGGATTTACTAGTAGATCTCAAAGAGAGTGCTGGTAAGATCCTGAGTAAATACATTAAAAAAAAAAAAATTAAATTTATAGATGTAATTCTATTTTAAGACGCATTACTCACTATCACTAGGGCTAATCACTAGGGCTACAGTATAGTATTGAGTCAGACAGTAGTGTGCCATACGACTACAATGATTTAATCAAAGCACCCCGACATATAATGTATATAATTCAGTTTATATGAGTAAATATTAGGTAGATAACTTTACCCCGGTCGTTTGAAAAGTAGCTCCCAAGACAAAACAGTCTACTCTAATCTAATCCAGTCTAACTCTAATGCCACACGTCACCTCGTCAACGCTGCACTCTCTCTCACAGGTGCTTTGGGCATCAACCCAGAGATTGGAGTTCAGCTTGTTGGGACAAAGTCCTTCATGTTCAACCTTGGATCCTGCCACACTTGCACACAGAGGAAGGTCAGGTAGCGCACAGAGCAGGAGCATCAGCAGATAAGACCTAAACATCCAGGCCGGTCCACGGCACTGCGTTTGGTTTAAAAGTGTATCCTTCAACAAGTGAGGGGGGGTTTTAGTCATTGTTGCCCCTTTTCATTCGTCTTCCACAAAGTAATTCCATACCTTCCCTAGGGTCGTGAAAAATCCGGGCGACAGTCCACGAAAGCCTAGACGTCTATTTGCCAAAGGTGCAAATCTGATTCTTGTGGAAATATCAAGTGTGAGTAAAGAAGTATCCCAACGATCACAGCGGGGTACCGTGCGCTCAACACTGTCGCAGGAACATGTTTTCCATGTGCAACCCAGTTGCGTTGAATCGTCGCCTTCACAATACAAACAAACCTCCAGGAACATGGAACGGGTTCTCATTCAAGGGCCAGCCCATCGAACAAGAGACACGGAGAAAAGAGGAAAAGCTGCTCGATGCGTGAGAGAAAGACGCAGCGCCATCAGCCTTTCAGGGTGTGAATGGAGGTGGAAAGGGCAGCCCCCTCTTTCTGACCGCCCCCTCCTGCCCCCCCATCGTCGTCGTCCGGTGTCTGAAACTTTTATGAAGCAGCACCGTGCGCTAAGCAACTGGACAAACATTGTAAAAAAAAAAAACAGACAGAAAACATCAAACAAAGTCTTAAGAGCTGTGGTGGCAAACTGTGACGACACGCACCGTGTCGAACACGTACCGGAGCCAAACATTCCGGTGACAAGTGAACGGTAAAATCGTCCAGACGTACTTTATAGAGGTGCTGTTCATTGACAAGCCGGATGGGAGATGCATTTCAAAGTTAGCGGTTTCCTGTATGTGAAGCAAAATCCGGTCCGAGGCCCAATTGTGGAACGTGCAAGGCTTTTATTTGGTTGCAAAATTGTTTTATTGAATTAACAGGTTAACATTATTAGCCATGGTCCTATATTTTAAGCCATTTAAGGGCCTAACTTTCAGCCATGTCTGGTCTTAGTGTGAACAAGAAGTTGGCATTTAATTATTATTACATTAACTACCAGTATTATTGCTATTGTTGAGCTGTTTAAGTTCAGTTCTATATATATTTTTTGTCAGATATTTATTATTTAACTTGATGTAATTACATTTGCAGTTGAACAGAGGCGTCTGGTCGACTCCTGATCATTTGTTAATTTGTCACGGGAGCAGCTGGTCCATTGGTGACTATCAAATCTGGACTCATTAAAGTTTGGACTGGCCCGACTTATCTGACCTAACACTATGCAGATGAGAGAGACGTTTTTTTATGGAAGTCAAAATATGATGCCTTGTCTTGTCTTTCAAACATTGTTGTTTACGTCCTGCTTGTCTAGACGTTGGTCCCACATTCACACGGGGCTCAGAGATGCCACGGTCAGGTGGGAAGACGTAAAAGGCCACGCATTTTCAATAGTGTGCGACTCATATATTTGTCCCGGCACCAGCTCTGAGACGTTGAGAGGCAGCTCCCCACGTCTTTTCATTCAATGTGACCCCCCGCAACCTTTGGCTGACTTTTGACCGCACTGCATTCATGCTGCTGCTGCGAGATGCTGCTTATTCCAAACTGGCCAATAACAAGAGAGAAAATAATCAATTCAGCCTCACCCCCATCCCCCTTACATCACCCCTGGGTTTTATTACACTTGAGCACCCACGACCTCTAACTGGACAAAGGACAAAAAAATATTCCCACCAGTATCACAATGATTATTATAAAAAAGTGAATTTAAAAAAAAGGAAATATCACTTTAACATGGTGAAAAGTCATTTGACCCTTTATTCTTACAGGTGGCTTTTTAAAAAAAACAAAACAAAACAAAAAAACAACATATCATTAGTTTTGTTTCCAAACCTCCAGACACAAAATTGTGTCAACACCAACCATTTTAACATAACACAGACAGTACAGTATAGTGCTTAAAGTGTCCACTCATTCAGACATTGTGCTGAACTACACACCACATACAACAGGCACTGGCAGGAAACATGCAGCACTTTCCATTTAATGCACTCAATGACCTTGTTACACACTGTGGAGACAGCGAGAGGCTGGGCTGGAAAAAAAACTACATCAGAAAGAGGACGTGACTGTTGATGAAGGAATAGAGTTCTGTGACTAAATGGAGTTAAATGGTTCTTTTACCCTGATAAGACACCGGCACTGTCGGCTACATGCTGTAGAAACAACAGTACCAGGTGTGAACATGTTCATGTTGATGTTTTCAGGATGAGACTCTCATCTGAAGACTGATGTAGGTACTGATTTTTGTAGCAGCCTGTCAAAGCTAATTCCTAAAATGTTGACACCAGATGGTGAAATTACTTCACCATCTGGTTTTGGTTAATTTACTGAAACGCCTGTGCTGTTTTGGTATATATATAGGCACAACTTTACAAAATGCATTTGTGTCGTCGTTGTTTCTGCTACCAATAGGTGGCACTCGTCTTTTTTGTTCTCGAGTGGTGTTAACGAACAGGACTGAAGAGTCCGTCTCTGATTGGACTGTCCTAGCACGACGTTACTTTTATCTGATTACATTTTCTGGTTTTACACAAATTGGAAATGTATAATTAAAATTACAGGTTTGTAACTCAAGTTAAAGACAATTTATATATGTATATATATACTGTATATAATTTACAGTGAATATAAATTGAGTGCCTTTTTCCCAGGTCTGGTTGTAGGGGTCAGTGCACTTACAAGAATTAACGTTTTAACAGTTTCTAATTTTTTTAAATGACGTTTTATCAAGTATTGCACTTCAATGTCGTCTAACCACCAAGGTCAATATACGTGTCCTCAACAAGCCCAGAAAAAAAGAGGAATACAGTCACTTTCCACCACTGATTCTAATAGCCCCCTCATACTGTACAAGCACATGGCCACAGGAAGGTAGATGAAGATTTTACATTCATAAATACATAGCATATGCATTTGAAAAAATTCCATGAAGCAGTGAAAACTGTTACAATAATTTCATGTCTTGATCAGAAGCAACATGAGACTGAAGGAGGCGCTGAAGACAAACAAGCTGCAAACAAGCAGAATCTGTCTGGCACAAAGTAAAACAACTTGGAACGAAAGTCAGATGTCTCATTGTGTGCATGTGGCTTAACCATTTAAAAGATGACTCAGATAAAAAATATATATATATAATACTTAGTATTATGATAATTGGTGGAAATTTTCATTCATGGGTTCAGAGGTTGTCAGGGCAACGTGACGTTTGTCTAATTTACAGTGAGAACGAAGGAATTCTGAGAAATTTTGGGAACGTGAGCCCTGCGTGTTCATCACATTCAACTTACATAACAGGAAAGACAAAATGAGGCACCAGAGTCTCCTCCGCAAGAAAGATCACAAAAAAGTGTATTTACAACACTTCAGGTCAGCTTTAAATACAGAGAAACAACGCTCTCACATAGAAAAGCCAGCGACTGTCCATTCACTCGTGTGTAGTGTTGACGGTTGATCCTCAAGTTCACGTTCGGTCCCACGTATTCCTTGTTCCATGTGATCACAGTGAGCCTCTGTCGTAGACAGTACCAGTAAACGGACACCCACACGATGGCACCAGCAAGCGCAAAGAGAAGAGAAAACAACCCACCATCCAAGTCAGGTCAGAGGTCAGAGGCGGAGCTGGACCCTGACAGACGCAGGCACCGTGTGCTCTTCTTGGTTCTTGTAACCTCACAGACTAACAACTTGTACTTTGATCCTGTGGAGGCGACTGTTCTTCACCTGTTTCACTACGAGATCTTACAGTTCCCTTTTGAGGAGGACGACGAACTCTTCGGAGGACTGTGGGGGGGCCTGAAGGACTTGGAGCGTTTCAGACTATTGCCCTTGCTCCCACCGCTGCTGCCTGAGGCCGCACTGTTGGCCACAGAATAGGAGCGTCCATGCATCATGACAGCGTTCATGCCGTTGGCCATGGAAAAGGACTTGAGGTGGGACTTGATGGCCACAGGGAGGGGCAGTTTGTCAATGAGGTGCACGGGCGTGCAGGACACAATTGAGCGGCAGCACAAATCCTGAAGGCTGAAGACTGAAGAACAGTTAGGAAGAGGAATAATTAACGAGGATGTGGTGACAGAGTGTGAAACAAAGAAATGTTTCATTTGACTTTTTTTTACTTTGTATTAGACTAGTAATATATATTTAAGTACATTAGTACGACATTAGTGCATTCTGTGAAAGAGTTGTTCCCAAAAGTGAGAGGGAGTAAGCGGGGGGATAAGGTCTTTTCTTTAATGCTCCCACAGTGGGCACCCAGAACAGATTTTGTTTGTTTTTTTTACTCAGGAGAATACATTTTTTCTAAAACTGTATTAAAGTTCAGTGTTCAGGGTTCTAAAGCAATAGCTGGAAAAGTGTCAACGTAGGGAGGCTAAAAAAAACGGTCCCTCTAGCGGCTGTCAGTGTGAAAATAACAAACATGCGAAATTATATATTTTAACGTATAAGTCGCACCTGAGTATAATTTGCAAACCCAGCCAAAGGATGAAAAAAAAGTGCAATTTATAGGCCGGAAAATACTGTTACATCAACAAAACCTCATCTGAAAGCATGAACTCATCTGCTCACCTCGGTTTGGTTTCCAAAATTTCTCCATCCCATGCCTCATCAGTACGATGCGTGAAAGTTCCGTGAAGGATTCAATGACATTGAAGTTGCAGAGTGGACTGACCTCGAAGAAAGTCATGCTGTTCTTCTCTGCATACGCCCTTGCCTGCTCTGTTGGCACCTGCCTCTTGAAAGCAAGGTGGAGTCTGTTTCCTACGAGAATCCTGGGCACACCCGGGGCATGCTAAAGTAAATGAACAAAACTGTGGTTACAGGTATTTGACTGTGTGTTGGTTTTTTTTTTTACACATTCATACAGCCGTCCACCTGGTGGACAGGGCAACAACTGTTTTCTCTGTGAAAAACAGAGACGCAGGATATTCCTCCATCTGCATGTGCTTCCTGTTAAGTAACATCCTGACAGATTACCTCGTCAATTTCCCGGATCCAACGGTCAATGCCATCAAATGACCAACCATTGGTGATGTCATACACAAGCAGGATGCCCTGGTGAATGGATGACAAACATCATGTTTTTGAAAAACATAAAGAAATGTAAACATTTCAGTTTGTAGGGGCTGGAAACAATAGGTTTAGCGTGTAATACTGGCTTAAAATTAACTCTTGTGTTGTGCTTGATGTAGACGGTGCCTAAGACTAACAAAAGTTCTTACTTGTGCTCCACGAGAATATGACCTGAAGATAGTACAAAATCGACCTTGTCCTGATGTGTCCCTGTTGAACACACAAACATGTATTTAGAGGTCAGATTTAATTTACTTTTGAACCTACATATTTCAGCAGATTATTTTCAGAATAGTCAGCACCATGCAGTGGTATAATAACATTATTTACTGTTCAAACAGTGACAATATTTTTTTACACAAACCTCAAAACAAACAGTCAATATTATTAGTGGCATTTTTATGAAAAAAAAAAACATCTAGAAGAACTGATGCATTTTAAAGATTCATCAGTACAAAACACGTGGAAAATAAGTAAAACAACAACGTGACAGCATCAGATTGATAATAAAACACGCACTGACCATAATTCTAGTTTCACTCTTCTCCCATCCAGCAGAATGGTGGTGGTCTTGTAATCGATCCCTGCAGACAATCTGAGTTAGTTCTAGATCAGCTCAAGATGACGTTGAATAAAACCAGAGAGGATCGACTCACCACTGCTGTAAGCATATGGAGACTCCACAGAACCGTCTTGCAAACTTTCCAAAATTTCCCCCTTTCCGACATCGCTGTCTCCGACCAGAAGAAATTTCAGGAGATAATCGTAACTCTTTACGGGACTACTCTGGGTTCCCATCATCCCACGCATCTGATCCGACCAACGGAGAGCTGCCCAGGCTCGTCAGACGCTCACAGTTCGGGTTTAGAGACCAACCAGAGTCCGCAGATGTGATCGCGTAAAATTGGATAGCCGCCGTTTGAAGTTGACGTTAGCTTATTATCCGTTTCTAGGAACACTAACCACGGTTTACGACAAATATACCTTTAAGTACAAGTATAATTGCCCACCGCACTGATTAATCTCATATCAATACTGCGTAGCGTAAATGTTGACGATAAAGATTACAACCTTAGCCGAGTGTTAGCTGGCTGTTTAGCCTGCCAGCTAACATAAACGA